TTGGCTGATCCACTTCACTCTGAAGTTAGACTCAAGGTCCCAGCCCATGCCCGTGCCTGAAAGGCCTGTCTCTGCTCCATATTGCTACCTTTCAGAAGAAGAAAACAAATAGGTAAAACAAACAAATAAAACATAAATGCAGATATTGAAAGGTACAATGAGGACAACAAAGTTGGAGTCCGGGAGCAGTGACGAACATGGATGGAGACTCGAGCTGACAGAGGGAGCAAGCCGTCCCTGAGGAAGGGACCCTGAGTCAGGACTTAGCGGGAGAAAACTGTACAGGAAGAACTGACAGAGAGCCTTCCAGACGGGGATGCTGCGAGGCACAGCTGCAGGGAGCAAGGGACCCTGGCACGTGCCCATCAGGAGAATGATATGATCCCAACCAATAAGTGGGTGAAAACTACAAACAAATGTCACATACAGAGGAAAATAAACAGAATGAACATAGGGCTGGCATAGTGGTATAGCAGGCTAAACTGTCACCCACAGAACCAGGATCCCATAGGGGTGGGAGGCCCACTCAAGTCGCAGCTGTTCCACTTTGGACCCACCTGCCTGCTAATGTATTGGGAAATCATCAGAAAATAGCCCAAGTCCTTGGACTCCTGCATGCACACAGGAGACCCGGATGAAGTGACAAACATGTATATATGTAACATGAGTGAGCATTCCAAAATGAATGGAAAAGCAAGAATGCTCTTCACAGCAAGAGCCACACCGGTCACCTCTTCAGCTCTAAATGGACCAGGGACCTAAATCTGCACACAGAAACTATCAAGCTATTGCAAGAAAGCATAGGCAGCACTCTACAGGATATGGCATTGATAAAGATTTCTTACAAAAGTTACCAAAGACGGGCCCGGCGCAGTGGCACAGTGGGTAAGGTCCTCGCCTTGCACACCTGGGATCCCACATGGGTGCTGGTTCTATCCCGGCAGCCCCGCTTCCCTTCCAGCTCCCTGCCTGTGGCCCGGGAGGGCAGTAGAGGACGGCCAAAGCTTTGGGACCCTGCACCCGCGTGGGAGACCCGGAAGAGGCTCCTGGCTTTGGATCGGCATAGCATCGGCCGTTGCGCTCACTTAGGGAGTGAATCATTGGACGGAAGATCTTCCTCCCTATCTCTCCTCTCTGTATATCCACCTTTCCAATAAAAAATAATAAAAATAAATCTTTAAAAAAAATCTGCTTTCTACTTGTCCCTTGCTGGACTCTGGGCTGCACCTGCTGCTTCTTGGCTCCTGCAAGGCTGATTCTATTTCTAATTACACTACGCCATGACTGTATCGCCATCAGTGTTGGTTAGATAGCTTACTCCCCAAGTAGTCACAAAGGCCAGAGCTGAGCTCTAATCTGAAGCCAGGATCCTGGAGCCTCTTCCAGGTCTCCTGCACAGGTACAGGGTCCCAGGGCTTTGGGCCGTCCTCCACTGCTTTCCTAGCCACAAGCAGGGAGCTGGATGTGAAGGATAGCAACCAGGACATGACCGGTGTCCATGCAGGATTCCGGCATATGCCAGGTGAAGATTAAGACATTGAGCCATCGCATCAGACCCTCTAACGTCACTTTCATCTACTACATTATTTGATTATATTGGGCCCAGCACAGTAGCCTAGTGGCTAAAGTCCTCACCTTGCACCACCAGGTTCCCATATGGGAGCCGGTTCTAATCCCGGTGGCCCCACTTCCCATCCAGCTCCATGCTTGTGGCCTGGGAAAGCAGCCAAGGACAGCCAAAAGCCTTGGGAGCCTGCACCCATGTGCAAGACCCGGAAGGGGATCCTAGCTCCTGGCTTCAGATTGGCTCAGCTCAGGACATTGCGGCCAGTAGGGGAGTGAATCATTGGACAGAAGATCTTCCTCTCTGTCTCTCCTCCTCTGAGTATATCTGACTTCCCAATGAAGATAAATAAATCTTTAAATGATTTGATGATACTACCAGTGATAAATTTCTTGGTTTTTAAAAATATATAGTCTATTTTGTGGTAGTACATTCTGAAAAACAAATCCTTAGAGAATATTGTTATATTGCAGTTTATAACATTTTTAAAGGTATGCATACAGTAACTAATAAAGTATAGAGGAGCTTAAGATGTGATATTGAAAATTGACAATAATCACAAAGATAGCAATCCAAGCATTAACCGTCAGTTGATAACTGATAGACTTAAGGGTTTGGGGCTTCTCCCCCTCGCCGTTTCATCCTGCTCCCCCTGTTTTTTTCTCCCTCTCTTCCTCCTCAGCCTTCACTTGTCCTTCCCTTCCTGTGTCTCCCCCTCCTCCTGCTCCACGTTCGCTCATGTCCTTCCCCTTGCTAGGGGTGGTTCGGGGAGTGAACCTCCGACCCAGCAGCTGCTGGATTCTCTGCCTGTGCTCTTCCTCCTCGTCCTTCCCCGTCCGCTGGACACTGAACCAACGCTCCAGATGAGTTAACTGTCATCAGAGAGGAAGGCAAGTCCGTGATGAGAGGATGTGCGTGCTCAAAGCTCGAGGCGCAGCCGGTGGCGCCTGGGATGGGTCCTGTGTGGAGAGCCCGGGAGAACGCCATCGGGAGCACGAGAAGCACTGCCATTGGGTAACTTGGGAGGTCCAGCCTCAGTGCCCCATGGCCGGGCCAGTGAGGGCCACGCTGCTGCACTGTGATGGCTGGGCCAGTGTTAGCAGCTGCAGCTGGGCTGGGGCACTGCCTTTTTGCAAGTGTTTTAAGCTTAAAGTACAGGTACAGCCAACAAAATAAGTGTTTTTTTAAAAAGATGCATGGCTGACCCACATTTTCTTTAAAAATTTTTCAAAACCAGTTTTCTTTTCTGTGGAGCAATCTGGTACAGCAGCATAGACAGAAACATACAACTGTTCTTTCCCGCCACCTCCAAAACACTCTAGTTTTGAGCTTACAGGCCATGAAGAAACTGTCTCCAGCGTTTGTGAGCCCTGTTGTGTGTCTGTGTGCCCACTAGATGGCAGAAGAGGATTAATTTGCATGGCTGCATCCTCTTGGCCATGAAATCAAAGGTTTTTCTGTTGCAGATCATTTTGATTTCATAGACAACACATCTCAACTGATTTTTGCACTGATTGTGAGAGGCAACCTTACGTGTCCACTAGGAGAATGGACTCAGCAAAAGCGAGACTTCACTAACAATCTTGCAAGATCAGGTGCCTGCTGGGCCAGCACGCTGCAGTCGTTTTCAGCAAGCTATTCATTTCCTTGCTTGCCTGTCCCTCCCCCAGCTCCTTATTGGCTGAATAACTACAGGGTTACAATCTTTCTGCAACTGTTTTGGCCACTCCGCACATCCTGTTTGCCTAAGAATGTTCCAGGTACAGGTACCCTAGCTGCTATGCCAGGCAGCTGCTTGTAACTTTCCACACAACACAAGCTGCCCTGCCGGCTAGTTGTCTACTCACAGTTCAACACCTTACTCTGCAAATGAAACAGACGCCTCCTTCCCACAAGATGGCAGCTCATCACGGCTGTGGTACATTCATGATAAAGTCTGGATAGTGAACTTTTAGAAATATGAAACATTTCATGGCCCGAATAAATTGCTCTTTATGTTACCAAAATTTAAATCCCACCAGCCTGACTAACAGATAGATCAGATTTACTGTTAATTAAATCCAATTGCTACTCAATGAATATTACTGTGGTTTTTGAAAACTGTCCTCTTATGTAGATGGAAAATATTGTTAAATTTGTTTTGGTATCACAAATTTCCTTGCTGACACACTGTTTTGTTTTTTAAAAGTCCAAAGAGATTTCAAAAATAAACTTCAGAATAAACTTAGCTTACTTTGAATTAGTCACACCTAAAAGATAGGGATTCTATCAGGCCCCTTAAACAATCATCACTGATTCGTTAGAGTTCTTGATATTACAGTGGGCATTTACAGAAGCCACTGGTAATCTACTAGCTTCCTTCCATCTCTCAATAGCCTTTGGAACAGGGAGTAAATGTTCCATATCACAATTAGCAAATACATAGGAATTTGAATTCAGCTGAATATAGACTATGATTACAAATTTTATCTGAAACATCTAAGAAAAAATACTCAAGAGTTGAAATTTAATCTTTCAATGGAATCTTTCCATGCCATTAGGAAAATGCAAATTAAACTTACATGTGATAATACTATATACCATTAGATTGCTGAGAGTAAAATTACTATGGATACAACTTTTGGTGAGAATACGGAAGCAACTAAAACTTTCCTACACTTAACCACCATTTGGCAAGATTCTCGGTTACGCTGAGGGTACATTTTCCAGGGCCGGTGCTGTGGCACAGCACAGGAAGCTGCTGCCTGCAGTGCTGGTATCCTATATGGTCACCAGTTCAAGTCTTGCCTATTCCACTTGTGATCCAGTTTCCTTCTCATGGCCTTACAAAAGCAACAGATGGCCCTGCACCCACATGGGAGACTCAGAAAATTCCTGGCTTTTGCAAAACACCAGCTCATGTCTGTTTTTGCAGCCATTTGGGGAGTAAACCAGCAGATGAAAATATCTCTGTGTCTCTCTCTAACATTGCTTTTCAAGTAAACAAATAAATAAATCTTTAAAAGAAAAGCAGTATCACCTGTCAAAGGATCTAGACATTTCATGAGTATGAAATGGAAACACGGATCCACACAAAGGAGTTCCCCTAATAGCCAAAAGCCGGAAACAATGTCAACGTCACTGAACTTTAAAAACATAGGGGTCAGGGGAAAGCAATGTGGCATAGTGGGTAAAGCTGCAGCCTGTAACGCAAGCATCCCCTATGGGCACTGGTCACGTCTCAGCTGCTCCATCTGCTATCCAGCTACCTGATAATGGCCTGGGAAATCAGGAGAAGAAAGCCCAGGTGTCTGGGCCCGTGCTACCGGTGTGTGAGAAACTTGAAGGAGTTCCCAGCTTGGCCTGGCCACTGCAGCCATCTGAGGAGTAAACCAGTGAATTCTCTCTAATTCTGACTTTTAAATAAATAAATAAATAATTTTAAAGCAAGAGGTCAAAGCCAGCCAATGAATATGCTTATCTGAATGTGTTTCTGCAGAAATTTAGAGAAAGCTGGCAATAGGCATGCCATCCCATGAGGCTTCAGCTCACGGATGTCAGTGAGGTGCCTGAACAAGGCCCCAAGAACAAAACAAACTAGCAAAAACTTCTCAGGGTGCCGTGTAAATTGTCACTTCACAAGGCTGTAGAGAAATTACGATTCTCCACTACCATGCTGGCAGCAACCAGACACCATGCTGCTTACCCTGAACCAGCACCCACAGGGAAAGAAGAGGAGGGCTGGGAAGTGGGTAGGCAAAAGAATGACACTCCAGCTAAAACCTTACTTCTGAATTTCACCAGAGGCATAGCTCATCTCAGTGTGTTCAGTAACACATGCCACTCAAAACCCCAGAGAGTAATCACCAGAAAGCCACAGATGGCCACCTTCCCCGAGAGCCCCTGTAGGATACAAGCAGAGACCACCAACATGGATTTCATTCCAAAGACCATTTTCTGCATCCCATGTCTCAAAAAGTTTCTCAAAAGATCCAGAAGTTCAAAGCCATTTTGGCTAAGAAAAATTACTTTAAAGGTAAGACATAGAAACCAGTCACAGATGCTGCACTTCCACTCTGGCACCATCATGGCTCCTAGGAACAGCTGAGCCTCTTCCAGGACAGGCCTGGCTGCGGCGTGGATGGAGCAGATGTGTTGCCGGAGTCATTCGATGGACATGGGTGGAAGGGAAGGATGGGTGTATAAGTGACACTGAGTCCATGCATCCGAGAACACATTGCCCACTCCTGGGAGCAAGAGATGCTGACCCCTGTGCTCTGGGCCCAAAGAAAGGTTACCTGCTTCACATGAAATCCTCTCCAAGCTAGTGTAATGGCCATTACCCTGTCCCTGCCCTGGGTGAACTCAACAAACCCCTCCTAGAACAAGAGGAAGTTGTGCTCATCAAAAGCAGCAAGTGCTGCTCTCCCAAAGCCATCTCTCTCTCTCTCTCTCTCTCTCTCTCTCTCTCTCTCTCTTTCTCCCCCTCCATCCTGCCCTCCTTAATCAGGGGCAGGCTCCTGCCTCAATTCCATCTCCCACAAGGTGACCACAAGCCAAAAGACACACACTCTGTTCCCACCTGAGGCAAGTTCTCCATGGTTTCAGACACCATATCCACCCAGTTTTCTTCCTTTTCAGCCTCTCCATTGCTGGTCTTCTGCAGCCCTTTCCTGAAGTTCCCACATGAATCCTGTACCCAGGCCCAACACCTCCTTTTCCCTACTCGTCCTAGGTTTCTTCCCCACACCCTGCCCCAGCTCTAACACTCCTGACCACGTACCAGGCCTTCATCGTGGATCCCACCCCTCCCTATTACGGTTCTCCCCAAACTCACCTGCCTTCCTCCTTACCCCTCTTCCCGTGGCCCACTGATACACAGATAACACCTGCTCCCAGCTCCCCACTCTCAGGTGATTCCTGGCCCATCTCTTCAGGACAGCTGATCCAGTTTCCCTCCAAACCTTATCATCCTGTCCTCAACTGTTTCTTCTAACTTTTTTTACTCTTAGCCAACAACAAATGCTTTTTTCCCAGGGCCACCTCCCACTCCTTGATGCCCAATTCTCTCCCTTGCCCTATGTCCGTAGCCCCTAATTTCCTACAGAACTCCAGGAGACACACTTCCCACGTGTCCCTTCCACGTTCTGTTTCTGTGGCCATCCAACTCTACTCTTGCCTTGTGGGGACCCCACACAGACCCACCTCATGCTCTGCCTCCTGTCACTGCTAGCGACTCCCTTCCCTTCTGGCGGCCTCCAGGCCAACTCACCAGTTGCTACTCCAGGCAGAAGGCGCAGCCCGCAGCTCTGGAAATGGAGAGGAGCACAACCCAACAGGTTGAACTTGTGCACCAGCTCAGGGTTCAGGACCACATCTATGCTCTCCAGGGTCGGCACCTGATCCCCATGACCCTGAATCCTCACAACCGGGATGCTGCACCAAGCCTGGGAATGGGGAGTTTTGCAGCTCCTTTGAGGCAGGTCCTAGGACCGTCACTCGGGCCCTCTATAAGGGGCCTACTTGTAAGTCTCGCCCATTCCTCCTCTCCCGGAAGCCCCGCCCACAGCCAATAAATGCACTTAAGAGCTCGGAAGCGCTGATTTTTTGTTTCATTTTGTAAGATTTATCTATTTTTACTGGAAAAGAAGATTTACAGAGGAGAGACAGAGAGGAAGATCTTCCATCCGATGATACACTCCCCAAGTGACCGCAATGGCCGCTGCTGCGCCAATCTGAAGCCAGGAGCCTCTTCTGGGTCTCCCACCGGGTACAGGGTCCCAAGGCTTTGGGCCGTCCTCCACTGCTTTCCCAGGCCACAAGCAGGGAGCTGGATGGGAAGTGGGGCTGCCGGGATTAGAACTGGCGCCCATATGGGATCCTGGCGTGTGCACGGCGAGGACTTTAGCTGCTAGGCCACCATGTGGGGCCCAGCATTGAGATTCTTTCAAAAGAGTTAAAAAAAAACTGGGCCCGGCGCGGTGGCGCAGTGGTTAAGGTCCTCGCCTTGCACGCCTGGGATCCCATATGGGCGCCGGTTCTAATCCCGGCAGCCCCACTTCCCTTCCAGCTCCCTGCCTGTGGCCTGGGAAAGCAGTCCAGGACGGCCCAAAGCTTTGGGACCCTGCACCTGTGTGGGAGACCCGGAAGAGGCTCCTGGCTTCGGATTGGCATAGTATCGGCCGTTGCACTCACTTGGGGAGTGAATCATCGGATGAAGATCTTCCTCTCTATCTCTCCTCTCTGTATATCCGCCTTTCCAATAAAAAAAATAATAAAAATAAATCTTTAAAAAAAAACTTATAAATTGGGAAAATTATTTCACCCTTTGAACCTAACGGATGTTAAAGCACAGGTGCAAGCGAAGGCCTAATCCAGGGCTTGTACACCCAGGATGGAGCGGCAGATCCGTCCTGCAAGCTCTAACAGGCGAAAGAACCCCCAAGAAATGCGTGAGGGACTCACAGCAATGCCTGTAGCTAAGCTTCAAGAAAACAAGGTCCCACAAAGAACCTGGCGGAACACAGTGCAGCCGGCACTCGCCCCCTGCAGGTGGAGGATGCCCTGTGCAGCCTGGGGCTGCAGCCAGAAGGTGCCGATTCGCAGCACCAGACTCCTTCAGGTCCAGCAAGAGCCAAACAGAAGCGGAAAACGCAAGAGCCAAGGTCTTCAAGGCTCCGGCCAGCAGTCAGGGGCTTTACGACAGGGTAGCCAACCCCGACTCAAGAGAACTGCAACGTAAAAATGGTTGGAAGGTTCTAGCCAGACTTCCAGGAAACAAAAGCAAGATAAAACACTTCCTCATTCTATGAGCCCAGCCTTGCCCCTATAACAAAACCAAGCAAAAATGCTACAAGAAAGGTACACTCAAGACCAGCATCTTTCTGGACCACAAACACAAAGTTCTCAGTGAAATACTGTGAGCAGTAATTTGAACGTCCCATCTTGGACCCGGCGCCACTTCCGGCTTCCACTTCCCACTGCTTGCAAAAGTCCACGAGCTCAGGTTATCCACCAATGAACTGCAGGGTCCTACAACGTCTTACCCGAGAACCTCACCCGCCGATCTCCCGCGGCCCCTTCCCCTAATCCAATCCCAGTCCACCTACCTGTGGCTCAGATAATTTCAGTCACCAATCCCTTGGGGCCAGCGCACAGCCTCTCGCCACTAAATCCTCACGCACTCCGCCCCCCCAAACTTTTCGGGCTCACCTGGGTTGTATAAATGAGCCTCCACACGTCCTCCTTTCCCCCTTTTTCCTGGCTCTCCCTGGTCCTTCTGCAACTTGCCCCCTTCCCCTGCCCTGCCTGCCCCCCATCCTGCCACCATGGCAGGAGACGTTTCCCTCCCCCTCCTACCCCGCTGGAATAAAGAACCTCCTAAGTACCTCGTGCATCTGAGATTTTGGCTTGTGGTAAACTTAGCATGAAAACAAGACTTGGCTGCGGAAATTAACTATGCGTAAGAACTTACGTGCCCTTAAAAAATAACAAATACCATGGGGAAAAAAATCCAATTTTGTGTAAACACAATGATATGCCATGGCCAAGTGAGACTCATTCCAGGTTTGCAGGGCTACTTCAGTCTCAAAATCAAGTCGTGGAATCCACAACACAAGCTACAGAGAAATACCCTATGATTACATCAAGGCAGAGAAGGGCTGGCATTGTGGCCCAATGGGTTAAGTCACCACCTGCAATGCTGGCATACGTAGGGACATGGGTTCAAGCCCTCAGTGCTCCATTTTTGATCCAGCTCTCCTGATGCATCTACAAAAGCAGTGGAAGATGACCCAAGTTCCACAAGAAGCATTATCTTTTAGTAAATACAAGAACAAGAAGGGAGAGATAATAAATTAGGAATGTTGCAGTGTGATGGGCTGAACTGCCACTTCAGATGCCCGCACCCTGGTTTGAATCCCATCTACCCCACACTTCCATTCCAGCCTTCCGCTAATGCACCTGGGGCAGGAGATAACAGCCTAGCCCTGGCTGCTGGGGGGCATTAGGGCACTCTCCACTCTCTTTTTCTACCACTCTACTACCTTTCAAGTAAATATCATTTTTAGAAATCTGGGGTTGACATTGTGGCATAGCGGGTAAAGCCACTGCCACAACACCAGCATCCCACATAGACACCAGTTCAAGTCCTGACTGTTCCATTTGTGACCCAGATCTCTGCTAATAGCCTGGAAAAGTAGCAGGGGGTGGCCCACATGCTTGTTTCTGCATGCACCTGTGAAACCTAAAAGAAACTACTGCCTCATGGGGCTTCAAACTGGCCCAGTTCCAGCTGCCTGGCCATTTGGGGAGTGAACCAGTGGAAGGAAGATTCGTGTGTGTGTGTGTGTGTGTGTGTGTGTGTCTCCCTCTCTAATTCTGGCTTTCAAATAAATAAGTCCTTTTAAAAAAAATTAAGCTAAGAAATAACATCCATAAAATATAAAATCTTTCTAACAATAGTTTGGCTCAAAATGGAAAACTTGAAAGTACTTTTCTTTAGAGTCATATTAAATGACTATTTATAAATGACACTATCCAGCACTTAAGTGTTCAAAATTTACCAAAAAAAAAAAGAAAAAAGAAA